GTGGCACGACACACTGAGGACTACGCTTGCGGCTCTTGGGTTTGCGCCCCTCTACTGCTGACCTGTCGTTGTTTCTGCGCACCAACACTTCTCTGCCGCCGTTCTACATCCTCGTGTACGTCGACGACTTGATCTTTGCCACACGCGGACACCTGCTGGACTCGCCCCTACCCGTTTGGGGGAAGTACGAGCTGCAGGAAGGACAACACGTGCACAGGACCTGGGTGAACTACGCAGCTACCTTGGCTTGCAGATCACTCGGGACAGAGCACGCTGCACCATTACCTTGACTCAGTCACACATGGTGCAGCAGGTCTTCAGCGCTTCGGCTTCACGTACTTCCTCGCCTCAGGCCACTCCTCTGTCTACTCGCCAATCGCTCTCTAGCTCTGCCTTCGGATGAGTCTGTAGAGTCAAGTGGCCCGTACCCCAGAGCTTGTTGGCTGCCTCATGTACCTGATGACCTGCCACACCGACCTGACCTTGCATACCCTCTTAGCATCTTGGCACGCTATGTTGCTCCTGGGAGACACCGTCCAGAGCACATGGCTGCAGCGAAGAGGGTGTTGCGCTACTTGTGCAGTACGTCGGGCATGGGCTAGTGCTTGGGAGGGCGAAGTCCAGTGGTCCTCACTGGGCACGCGGACGCTTCTTGGGCTGACGACTAGGCTACTCAGCGGTCGTCGTAGGGTTACACCCTTCAGTCTTGGTTCCGGCTCTGTTTCGTGGCGGGCTACTCGCTCGTCTTCTGTCTCGGCTCCAGTTGTGAGCTTGAGATCTACGCCGGGGCCATGGCTGCTCGGAGCTTCGCTAGCTCACCTACCTGCTCACTGACCTTGGAGAGCCGCCACGTTCTCCTCCAGTCCTGTACGTAGACAACAAGGCCATGTTGGCCTTCTGTCGAGAGCAGCGCCTGGAGCACAGAACGAAGCACATTGCTCTCCGCTACTTTCTTGCTTGTGAGGTGCAGCAGCCGTGGTCAGTTGCGACTTGCGTACGTGGCCTCTGAGGCCAACACTGCTGATGTTTCACCAAGGCACTTCCGCCTTGTGATCATCAGCGTTTCTGCACTCAGCTGGGACTTGTCCCAGTCTTGCCTCACTTGCTCACCTCTTGATCTTACTTGTACTCTTGCATATATATAATCCTGCTCTTGCTTGTTTAGACTTATATATATATGTCTCATCCTGCATGTGAACTGGCCTTTTGGCCTTGACCTTGTGCTCAGACTGTGTGGTGACGTTGTGATCCACCCTGAGCTTGCTTTGCTTTGCTTTGCTTGACTGGTCTTGTGACCCCTTGTTCTCCCCCACATTGCCTATGGGGGTGTGTCAAAACATTATAGCTTATGCTTTTTGTGTAGGCTATAGTGGGGTATCCCATAGGGGGTACAACCCAATTAGGGTTAGTACTTGTACCCACTTCATTCATAGTTCATTCATTCACGTTCACTCTTTCACACAAGACCATCCTCACCGGGAAATGGGTCTTCCGCATCAAAACCAAGGCAGATGGCACAATCGAGAAGTTCAAAGCACGCTGGGTCGTGCGTGGATTCGATCAGGAACACGGACGGAACTTCCACCGAGACATTCGCCCCGGTTAGCCGACACACTTCACTCCGAATCCTCCTCGCGATCGCCGCCATGAAGAAAAGGAAACTACGGCAAATCGACGTCGCTAACGCCTTCCTCTACGCACCCGTCGACGCCGAAATCTTCGTCGAACTTCCACATGGTACCCACGGGGAACCTAACCAAGTCTGTCAGTTACTAAATCGCTCTAACGGAATCAAATAAGCCCCGCGGTTGTGGCAACAGCACCTACACATTCTTCTCACTCGCATCGGATTCCGCCAACTGCCCTCACGACCAAGGAATGTACCGACTCACCAAAAACGCTGACTACATTCTGCTGATCGTCTACGTCGACGATTTACTCTACATCGGCTCTACTGACGACATAACCACCTGGTTCGAAGGAGAGCTGAAGAGGGACCTCACACTCACGGTCTCCTCTACCGTCACTCAGTACCTCGGACTCAACATCCGCGAAGAAGAGAACGCGATCTATCTCAGCACCGAAAAGTATGCCGACACTATCGCCAAACGCTTCGCACTCACACCTACTACTATCTCCACGCCATACCGCTACACGGTAGGGAACGACAAGGGAGGTCCCACTCTACTCAAAACCGCCGGAATACGCGACTACCAGAGAAAGCTGGGCTGCCTTCTCTTTGCGGCCGTCACCTGCCGTCCAGATCTGTCCTACTCCGCAAGTCCACTCGCCACCTACCTCAAGAAACCCGAAGCAGAACACCTGGCGGAGCTCGACCGCGCACTCCACTACTTCGTAAGCACCTCAACGATCGGTCTGACATACCACAAGAATACAACTACACCGACGAAACTAATCGGCTACGTCGACGCCGATCACGCCGGCGACTCAGACAACAGGCGTTCCCGCACTGGCTACATCTACCGCCTCGAACCTATCGGACCTATCTCCTGGCAATCGAGCAAGCAGGAACTAATTGCTCTCTCCTCAGCTGAAGCAGAATATATCGCACTCTACTCAGCCACCAAGGAAGGACTCTACCTTCGCGAGTTGCTGGAAGAAGCGAAGTTAGCCGAGATACCCAACTTCACTCTGTTCTGCAACAACCAATCTGCGATTCGCATCGCCAACAAAAGCGGATTCGCGAACAGAACAAAGCATATTGCTCTGCGATATTTCTTCGTGAAAGACGAGATCGAGAAAGGGAAACTCGAACTATCCTACTGTCCCACGTCCGAGATGGCAGCCGACTACTTGACCAAGAAGCTCGGAAAACAGAAGTTCGAGTACTGCATGTTGCTGACTGGACAAAGCCACGTCACCATCAGCGACACTCCAGAAGCGAAGGGGAGTGTTGGGAACAAATAGCCTTAAGCGCTTATGTCGTGTCGAAACTTCAAGACACAAGCGAAGCAGCGCAAATCGAAGCACCAGCGAGTCAACCCTCGGAGTTGATGTAACCGCTGGAGGTTACGAGAAAGTCAAAGGTCAGCGACCTTTGACTTGACAAAAGCAGCGCGACAGCAAGGACACACAACTGACTCGACATTGAGCAGTTGCCCGAGTCGCACTGTATCGAACTGCAACAGTAAAGTAGTTACAATTATGTATCTTCATATTCTATGTACTCATATATATATATTCTTGTATCTCTTCGTTTTAATCAACTTACTTTGCCCTCACATACTAGCGCAAGGTGGTTCAAGGACTTTATTCAAACGCTTCCGCTACTACATCGTTTACTCAACCTTTAACTCTACCAAAAGATCCTAGGGTGTCTCAGCCCAACAGGTCGAACCAGCCACAACCCCAATCATTTTTGGGTGCCCAACTTCATTGGCCCACCTTCAATGTTGTCTGCGCTTATCCAAATCACCAATAATTGCTACTATAGATATCTTTTTCTTTTCATTTGTATTTTTGGGAGAGGCAAATTTCGGACGGTGATCGTAGAACGACCAGGTTAGATTGGGCGCGTCTGAAGGCATACAAAACGGTTGAGTAGGTTTTCGAGGCTACAGGCGAGGGGACAGGGCAGCCCCATCTGACCCACCCACCTCACCAACACCATTTTCCCAAGAACTGGCTAACATGCTCTGCCACCGCGTTTCGCGGCGAAGCCTATTTCCTCTCCTGGTGCAGACACCATTGATCGGCGGGCGGCAATAAGTGCGCATAAGACCAGCCCGATCCGACCTCCCGCCTAATTATTCCGATAATTACTACCACCCACTGTCATTTTCCCGTGAAAGGGCCGGCATGCTCTGCCTCCGCGTTTCGCGCCGAAGCCGGCTTTCCTTTCCAGGTGCAGACACCGTCGAAGGGCGGAGCTCGGATCGCTCCTTACGGCAGCAAGTGTGCGCTTGCAGCGCGAAAGAGTCCTCTCACGGTGCCGCAGGGTTGCTAGTTGCTCCGGGCTTCCGCAGCCCACGCCGACCCCTAGCCGAGGCAGGGAGAAGTCCTGAAACTCATGGCGCGCCGCGCTCGGGCGACGTGCGCTGCCAGTCCAGTATCGACCACATTGCCGAACACCACGTGTATATTACGCACGTACGTACAGCATCTCGTATAGCCCACGCTCGAGAACGGCCTCGCATTCACGACGCGCATAAGGGTACTAGCTTTCCGCCGTGAACTCCTTTTCAAGCCTGTCCGCGCGCTTGGTGCAACTGCAAACTCTCGCCATGGCGCTGCTTCGTGCCGCCTTTCTGCTGCTTCTCTCGCTCCTTCCTCTACTCGTCGCTCTCCACCTCCCCGCCGCCGTTTCCGCGACGCGCCTCCCCCCGGGCTTGGCGGGGACTCTCGCGGCGCGCCCCACGGCCGAGCAACAGCTGGCACCCGGCAGCGCGGCGGGCCTGGCCGAAGATGCAGCGCGGATCCGCGCAGCCGCGGCGCGCGGGGCAATAGCGGGCCGTGCTCTTATCGAGGACACAGAGGATGGGCCCCGCTCGACGGGCGCTCGAGTTCTGGCGGAGATCAAGGCGCTGCATTTTGCCACTGACACTGAAGGAGTGCGTGTTGCTGCGGATGCTGAGGCTGGCGCCCCAATTGGGCAGAGAGGAAGGGAGTTAATACTTGAAACTATTGCTTTGGGGGTGATGGGGGCGGTCAAGGTGGCCAAAGCTGCGGGGGTGGCGGCTGCGGCAAAGGCGGCGGCTGCGGCGGGTGCAGCAAAGGCGGCGGCTGCGGCGGGTGCAGCAAAGGCGGCGGCTGCGGCGGGTGCAGCAAAGGCGGCGGCTGCAGCAAAAGCAGCGGCTGCGACCAAGGCGGCGGTTGCGGCAAAAGCGGCGGTTGCGGCAAAGGCGGGAAAAGTGGCGGCAGTAGCGGGGAAGGCAGTGAAGACGGTAAAATCTGGGGGGGCTGCATTGAAAGCAGCCAAGACAGCACAGGTGGCGAAGGTGACAAAAGCAGTGAAGGCAACTAAGGTGGTGAAGGCAGTGCAGGCATCCAAGGCTGCCAAGGCTGTGAAAGCAGCAAAGGCGTTCAAAGCAGCTAAGGTGGCCAAGGTGACCAAGGCTGTAAAGGCGAGCAAGGCTGGGCAGTTGGTGCAAGCGGCCAAGGGGACCAAGGCTGCTAAGATGGTTGCTGCGGCGAAGGGGTCTAAGGCTGGCAAGGCGGCAATCAAGGCCAAGGAGATGTATGACAAGGCGAGTAAGGTGAGGAATGTTTACAACCGGCTGGCACCGGTCATCAGGGCGCCGCGGATTTAAATGGGTAGTTGGCAAGGCGAGGCAGGTTGAGAAGGTGGAGCTATCTGTGTGGTTCTCTCTATCTCATGGACAAGTCGCCACAAGCCACTCTGTGCTGGCAGGTGTTTGTGTGTGCGCTGAGTGTGGGAGGCAGGGCGTGTTCTTGTATGTGTGTGTGTGTGTGGGAGGACGGGGGAGGGAGGGGGAGGGGTGTGTGCGTGCGTGCGTGTGTCTGTGCATGTGCGTGTGTGGTGCGTGCGTGCGTGCTTTTTTGGTGTGTGTGTGTGTTTGTGGTGTGTGTGCGTGAGTTTGTGTGAGTGTGTGTGTGTGCGTGAGTTTGTGTGAGTGTGTGTGTGTGCGTGAGTTTGTGTGTGTGTGTGTGTGTGTGTGTGTGTGTGTGTGTGTGTGTGTGTGTTCGTGTGTGTGTGGTTGGCAATAAACACCCCTCTGTGAGCTGCCAACGAGCACAGTAAGGGCATTGGACGAGTGATGCATGGAGCAGAGGAAGGCAGAGGAGGGCAGAGGACGGATAGGAGGGCAGAGGAGGGCAGAGGAGGGCAGAGGAGGGCTGAGGAGGGCAGAGGAGGGTCGCTGAAAATTGAAGAGATGGCTGGAAAGGGAAGAAGTTCATTTAGCAGCTCTGGAGATTTTCTCGAACCTTCAATCTAAATGCTGTGAGGCTTTGTGGCCCTATACCCCCACTGCAGTACTGGTAGCTTATTAGCAAAGAATAGGAAGATCAGTTTCCCAAATTTGAAACCCTACTGTTAACAGAGCTCAAAGCACCCTCATCCTTGCTCTATGGAGAAATGTACTACGGTACCTAGTTTGTGAAGTATAGATCGTTTCCTTCCCTAGGTGCCCCCAAATCTTGGCAAGAATCAGCTTTCAGAAGGCCTAGGAAGTCGAATCGAAATGCATGCCTTCCTACCTGGGCTGGTCAGGTCAAAGACAAGAGAGGAAAAGCAAGAGCTACCAGTGGGTGCTGCTGGCTAGAGTGACAGGAGCAGCCTGACCCAGCAGATGGTACATGGCACAGTAAACTCTGACACCTGGTTGGAAATCACCTGGTACTGCTCATGTGAATATCTTCAATCCATACATCTGGTTGACGCTCCTGGGGAGCACAGACCCATCAGTGTCAATCACATGGCCACACCCTTGCACATCCAGCCTCTGCAGTCCCTTGAGCTCACTCAACTCCTCTGGCAACACCTGCAGCCTCGCACAGCCAGTCAAACAAAGGGACTTGAGCCGTGTAAGCTGAGCAAAGCTGGGACACAGGGCGCGGATGGAGCTGTGCGGAATCGACAGCTGGTTCAGGCAGGTAAGCTGGGTGAGAGAGGGCAGCAGGTCGTCAAGTTGCTCGCAGAGAATGAGTTGCAGCTGCCGCAGCCGGGATAAGGCACCGATGCCACGTGGAAGGGAAGCCAGTTGGGGTGCAGAGTGAACCTCCAGGGACGTGAGGTTCTGCAGCGCACTCACACTCGCTGGCAGCTCCCTCAATTCCTCCGCACATTTCAGCTTCAGCCTCCGCAGCTGCTGCAATGCTGATCCCATATCTCCCCATGCCGTGAACAATCAGGGTGCGCAGCTGAGAAAGAAACGTCAAGGGGAACGGGAGCTCCTCGGAATCATCTGCCAGAGTCAGCATTAAATGCTGCAGATGAGATAGGCGCCTGCCCACAGCAAGCCCATCACACGCCACAGCAACCCGGTCCAGGCAAAGCGTCCGAAGCCCCGTCAGCCTGGAAACGTCGGGGAGAACCATCGCGTGCCTGTAGCTTCCCCAGCTGAGCGTTTCAAGGGAAACCGGCAGGAGTAGAGGAGGATATTTCAACATGTCACACGAGGCTACCTCAAGCTGCTTCAGCCGCGTAAGGCCATCCAACCGTGTGGGCGCGAAGGCGAGCTTTCTGCAGTCAGAGAACGTGAGGGCTTCAAGGCGCGTCAGGCGCGTTACAGACGCTGGAACGGCCGTGAGATGAGAGCAGGAGGAGATGTGCAGCTCCCGCAGGTTGCTCAGCTCTCCCACGCCCTCTGGAAGCCGTTCCACACCGCACAGGCCCAGCTCAAGCCTCGTCAACGAAGATATGTCAGTCAGCGAGGAAGGGAGATAACGCTGCTGACAACTGTCCCTGACAAGAAGGGTCTGGAGATTACTCAGGCGCCCAATGTCCGCTGGAAGCGCCACTTGCCCGAGGCAGAGTGTCGTGAGAGCCATGAGGCAGCAGAATCCTGCTGGCAGCTCACAGATGGGCTCGCACCAGAGCAGGAAAAAGGTCTCCAAGGCGCTGAGCTGCTGGATGGAGTCAGGGAGGCTCGAAAGCGGCAGCTGCTCCAGAACCAGAGTTTTCAGGGCAGACAATCTCCCAATGTTTTCGGGCAGGCTGCGAAATTGGCGGCACTGGAAGAGTGACAAGGTGTGGAGGTGGTTGAGGTGACACCCGCAGGCAGCTCCTGGAAGAGATCGCAACGGCAGATGGTGAGCTCACGGAGACGCGGCAGCAGCTCTGCAATGTCGTCCGGAAGTCGCTGCAATTCTCTGCAATCTGATACGTGCAGCCGTTCCAGACTTGTGCATGGCCAATCGGAACGCAGCATCTGGCTGGTCTCCAGCGATTTTATAAAAGGTAACTGTGCGATGGTGAAGGCAGCCGATCCCGTGTTAGCAGGGGGAAAGCGGGTCCGGACAGAGATTGAAAGGCGGGTAACGCTGCGAAGTCGACGCACATTTGAGAGTTGCTCACTGGTCAACTCCGCGGAGGCGATGTGGAGAGCGGTGAGAGAGGAGAGGCTTTCCAGGTCTGGAGATCCTAAGGCGGAGGCGACTGTTAAAGCCAGGGTGTGTAGACGCGTCAGGTGGAAGAAAGAAGGCGGTAGCTCAGCGTTTCGATGGAGGCAGAGGAGTGAAAGCTGCTCCAGCTGAGTGCATTGCTGGAAGAACCGATCCAGGCCAGCATCGGTAATAGGGTGATCATGCTTCGATCCCACATAGTCCGGATGCTGCGTGATCCGTCTTCCCACGTGGAGAATCGTCAGTTTGGGACACGACGATGCGAGGTGAGCGAGGAAGGTGTCGTCTAAGTTTTCCACGCTGCCGTCGCACAGATGGAGATGTGTGAGGTTCGGGAAGCAAGCGACGGCGTTCGAGAGGTCTTGGAGAGAGACAACATGATTTCGTTCAATACGGAGGGTGGAGACGTCACGCTTAGCTAGATCGCGCCACCGACGGCACACGGACGAAATGAGGAAGATCCTGGCTGTGTTTGGAGCGGCAGAGGGAGTCGAAATTGGAGTCGTCTCTTCCTCGGGATCGGAATCTTCGTCTAGAAGGACCGAGGAAAGGTACTGAGGCTTCGGCCACAATGAAAGGCGAGACCATAACGCGTCACTATCGGAATTCCAAGATGTGCACTCCTTAAACTGCCATAGTATCCTGGCGAGGACGTCGTTGGGAAGGTCGTTAATATGTGTCGCCGACTGCATTTCTTTCGGCGAGATTATGGTGGAGAGGTTGACAAGAGAACGAGATGAAGTGACCTCGAAGCCTAGCCTTTGTTTAAAACGAGATCAAAGAACGAGTGTGACGTGAAAACGGAAAAGCAGTGGAGGTCAACACTCAGCATTCTCTCAAATGCCTGCAGAACAGCAGGCGAGTTGGATTGTGAGCGGCAGTCTTCTGAGTGGTGCCCCACGGTGGTAGTGGCTCCATAGCTGACAGCATTTCATCAGGTCAGAAGGGCAAACCGACTTGGGAAGGACGTGCAGGAAATGGGTCGAGGGCGCTATTCGACAGCAATGAAGTCCAGGTATCTTTAGGGCGTGTTGCAAGTTCGAAAATCTAAGAATTGTGGCAGTTCACCGATCCCTTGTTGGAGATCCTGGGCTCAGTGCGTGATCGATCACTGTACTACGACCGCCCAAGCGTACTACCACCTAGAGTATTGCGACAGTGTGGTTTCGCTTTTCAAACGCAGAAACAATGAACACCCTGTTCGCCACTGTCTCGTCATGCGAGTGTTTCTGCGCATGGCGAAATGGTTTCGTAACTGTATGTTGTCTGCCTCGTCAATCTCACGATCGATCTTCGTGGCGAGGCGATCGTCATGGTTTCCGCCAATCTTCTCGGTTGTGCACAGTGGCAACACTGTAGTATGGTATCCTTTCGCTACAGTGGTCGACCACAGTGAGGTTCGGTTCGAAGAGGCCGTCGATCCTTTACTTGCAAGACGCCCTTAGTGGAAGCAGAGTCTAGTTTTGGCTCGGAAAAAGGTTCGGCTCCTGCAAATCACGTGCGAACCCCCTGCCACACAATATGGAAGCTTCAATCCCTTCCCGCCTGCGAATGCCTGCAGAACAGCACATTTCGAAGGACATTTTTTTGCCGGCAATACAGTGTTGTACGCGGTGAAAACATGTGCAACTGATTACAAACATAGAAGCCAGAGATACTAATCATACTATGGATGCATCAGACAAAATAAAAGAAAGTAGCCTCACCACACAATACAGGTTATGTTCAAGCAAGGTAACCACACCCATATGTACAGTCCGTTCTCAGTGTACACAGCAGATGCCCCCGTTAAAAGTTGTTGGAATAACCGAATGGTTATAAAAAGGCATTCCCAAAGATTCGCCTAAACGCATCAGTTCATAACGAACCTGCTCAGCTCATGTACCAGTAACGAATTCTTGAATTTCTTACTTCGCAACCGTCTCCATCCAACGCATACGGTACAATACAACACTGTGCACCCGACCTCGACCGTTCTTTGGCTGTTACCAGCCACCAGTGTCATTTGCACTGTGCACCTACTTTCACCAAACCTTGCCGCCAGGCCGCATCGGCCTACGCAGGGGGCCATTCACGAGGCAGCAGGTGGGCCTTGAAGCGGCAGCAGCTGCTTGGCTGAGAGGTTGGCGAGTGAGTCGGCTACGATGCGCGCGTTATTGGGCTGGTACCCCCCTGGAGACAGGGGACAGGAATGAGGAAAGAGGGAGATGACACGATGTTTGAGGCGCCAAAGAAGCGTTATTGGTCTGGTACCCCCCTGGAGACAGGGGGTAGGAGTGAGGAGAGAGAGGAAGGGGGAAGGGCAGTGGAGGTTGGAGAGGAGAGCGTGGATGGTGCAGGATGGGGAGCGGCAGTTATCCAAGGCATGGCATGGCGATGGCCGCAGCATGGCGATGGCAGCAGCATGGTGATGGCAGCAGCATAGCGATGGCAGCAGCATGGCGATGGCCGCAGCATGGTGATGGCAGCAGCATGGTGATGGCAGCAGCATGGTGATGGCAGCAGCATGGTGATGACAGCAGCATGGTGATGGCAGCAGCATGGTGATGGCAGCAGCATGGTGATGGCAGCAGCATGGAGGTACTGGAGGTGAGCATGAAGGAGGGGGTACTGGAGGTGAGCATGAGGGGAAGGGTACTGGAGGTGAGCGTGAGGGGGAGCGTACCGCTGCTGCTCGGCCTACCGGAGGTGAGCATGAGGATGGGTGTGGAGTGGCTCCTGGCGAACTGGAAGACCATCTCATCCCGCCTCTGCACTCCCTCCGCTGTCACCTGCTCGCCCCCATGCCATGCACACACGTGCATGTGGCCGATGGAGGGAGAGGGAGGGAGGGAGAAAGAGGGAGAGAGGGAGAGGGATAGAGGGTTGGAGAGAGGGAGAGGGAGAGAGAGGGAGAAAGAGCAAGCCAGAGTGAGAAAGAGCAAGCAAGGGTACGAGAGGGATGTTAGTTGCATGCATAGAGGCAGTAAGAGTGAGACGCATTTCACGAGAGGAGGATGATGAGGGGGTGCAGAAGAGGAAAGGGGGCAACAGGGCATCAAGGCTCACAGCTGCAAAGGCATGAGCCATTATATGTGTTCAAAGAAACGGCCACAGTAGCTTCTTATAGACACACCCACTGTAGCTTCCTATGGCAACACCTGCTATAGCTTCTCGTAGCAACGCCCAAACTTAGCTTCTAAATAAGAACACTTGCTATAGCTTTCTGTAATAACACTCACTATAGATTCTAATAAGAAAACTTGCTATAGCTGATTGTAGTAACACTCACTACAGCTTCTTAAAGAAGCACCACTACCCTTCTACATATAACCAAACCTCTCCATCCTCCCATGCCCCCACCGCCCCTCCTTGCCCCCACCACCCCTCGTTGCCCCCACCGCCCCTCCTTGCCCCCACCACCCCTCCTTGCTCCCACCACCCCTCCTGTCACTCTCACCGCAAGTCTACCGAGAGGGTCGTTGGCGAGAATGTCGGTGCCGGCGTTGTAGATGAGCAGATCCGCGTGGAAGGCTGCTGCTGCCACCTGCCATGGGAGTGGGGTCAGGTGGGGGAGAGGTGGGGAGAAGAGGGAGGGGGAGGAAGAGTGTAGAGGCTCAGCGCCGGGAATGTCGGTGCCGGCATTGTAGACGAGTAGATCCGCGTGGAAGGCTGCTGCTGCCACCTGCCACGTGCAGGAGGTGCATGAGTGCTGCGGAGCAGGTGGTGGGGGGAGGGGAGGAGAGACATGAAATATCGGGTCCGGTGAAATGGGGAGAAGGGAGGGGCAGGGAGAGGGAGTGGGGGGAGAAAAGGGAGCGAGGAGAAGAGGGAGGAGGGGGAAGAGGGTAGAGGGTCAGTGGGGAGGATGGCATGGGAGATGTGGAGACTTGCTGGTGGGCGATGCACACTGCAGTGTGCCCCTCGCCTTCCCCCCTCGCCTCTCACCACCTCCCATGCCTCTCAACTCCTCCCATGCCTCTCAACTCCTCCCATGCCTCTCGACTCCTCCCCTGTCTCTCACCTCTCCCCTATCCCTCACATCTCCCCTGCCCTTCACCTCCTCCCATGCCGCTCACTTCCTGTGCAACAGCATCAACATACTGCTCCATGCCTGCTATATGCCATTGTACGCGCCTCTCACAATGACAACACATGGCTGTCACCTCCTCCCTTGTCTCTCACCTCCTCCCTTGTCTCTCACCTCCTCCCTTGTCTCTCACCTCCTCCCTTGTCTCTCACCTCCTCCCTTGTCTCTCACCTCCTCCCTTGTCTCTCACCTCCTCCCTTGTCTCTCACCTCCTCCCTTGTCTCTCACCTCCTCCCTTGTCTCTCACCTCCTCCCTTGTCTCCCAAATCCTGCACTGCCTCTCGCCTCCTGCAGTGCCTCTCGCCTCCTACTGTCTCTCACCTCCTGCACTGTCTCTCACCTCCTGCAAAGCCTGCGTCACAGCGTCCAGGTACTGTGTTGTGCCTGTGCCACTCTGAGGGGGTCAGTGGGAGGAGGCAGGCAGGCATGCGGATGCAGTGATGAATGCAAGATAGCTGATACATGGTGTGTGGTGCGTGGTGCGTGGTACACAGCAGAAAAGCACGGTGAAGAAAAGCACGGTGAAGAAAAGCACGGTGAAGAAAAGCACGGTGAAGAAATGCACGGTGAAGAAATGCACATGAAGCAGCAAGAGCTCCACGATGGCCACATGCTGCTCGGTGCTCAACTCCTGTGCCCCACATAAACTGAAATCAAGGCACACTCACTCTGAGCTCCTTGGCAATGCGAATGGCCTCCTTGGCTTGATGATCCTGCAGCGTGACATGGTGACACGGGATGGTGACATGGCGCATAGGATGGTGACATGGCGCATGGGATGGTGACATGGCGCATGGCATGGTGACATGGCACATGGGATGGTGACATAGCGACACGGATGGTGACAAAGCGACATGGGATGTTGAAAAGATGGCCGCACCGCATTGCACACATCCATCCACTATAAATCGTTAACACGCCTCAGATTTGTTCACGCACCTCAGGTACCCCCCAGGTCAGCCCAGTGCACTAGACATGAGCAAAAATTCGAACCCCTGTTCGGGTCGACTCGAAAGTGTTCGACTCGAACGTGTTCGACTGTTTTTTTTGCCCAAAATAGCTCATGACGAACACCTTGGTGTTCGTTACGAACACGTTCGACTGTTAGAGTGTTCGTGTGCAGGGAAAGGCACGAAAACCTAGGTGTTCGCGAACACAATGTGTTCGTCGCGAACACCTAGGTGTTCGAGGGAAAATTCTATACGTTTAAGTTTGACGCGCTGGTTGGATTTAAAAGGGGAGGGCGACAATGGAGCTCAAGAATGAGCTCAATCGTCGATATAGCCTAAGGATGGCATTCCGCCCCCTACCCACTCAAGCTACCACATTCCCACGGTTAAAATTCCACATTGTGGCTGGAATTCTCAGGTATAAGGTTGAATTAGGGTAGGAGACGGTTAAATAAGGAACTAAGGGCATTTTGGTTTAGGTTGGAGTTTAGCAAGGCGAAATTGGATATCCACCAGATCTGCGCCAAGCCTAACTATATCTCTTGTAGGGCTATAGGGAACGTGATATTGCTTCTGGTACACTCGCTCTGCCTGAATGTGACTATACTGAAAGAACCCCCCAAGGCAAACTGTTTGAGTTCGGATAAAAAACCTTAGTGTTCGGCCTTGCCTCAAAACTGTTCGACCCTATACTCGAACAGGGAACACAAACATTTAAGAAAACTGTTCGAGTCAAACGTGTTCGGTTCGGTTCGAATTGACCAAGTGTTCACAAACGGTTCGAGACAAACGTGTTCGGTTCGCTCGTTGCTCATGTCTACAGTGCACCCTGCCTGCACTAACCCATGGAAAGATGGCCGCATTATACACGTCCACTATGAATTGTTTCGGCGCCTCAGACTTGTTTTGAGGTGCCTAAAAAATTCCCAGATACCCCAGGCGCCCTGCCTGTAAGCACTGACCCGTGGAAAGATGGCCGCATTGTACACATCCACTATGAACACATCGGCTGGGAGGGGTGGAGAGGGATGCGGGGGAGGCAGGGAGATGGGGGAGAGAAGGTGGGCGGAGGGGAGAATGGGGAAAGGAGGGTAAGTGGAAATGAGCGGTAAGAGCGCGGGAAAACTGGGGTGAGGAGGGTAGGTGTGAAGGAGGTACGGGCAGGAGAAGGAATGATAAACGGAGAAAGAGGGAAGGAGAGGCAGGATGGAGCATGAGAGGACGGGTGAATCAATGACTGGCATGCAAAACAGACAAGGAACAAATTTGAGCAGTCTCTAAGGTGAAAGCAGCGGAGCATGGTCGTGGAAGGTGCTCGGCACAACTAGGTAGCGGTTTTCCGGCTTCAACTTTCCACCCCCATCCAATCCAATCCCTGTGCCACTGCCATGCCGCCCCATTCCAGCCCAGTGCTGTCCAACGCATGCCGCCTATCTACCATCGCTTTTGACAAGTCCCAAAAGTCACCAGTCACCCATTCTCTCCTTGCCTCCCTCGTGCAATCACCCATAGCCCACCCTCACCCATAGCCCACCCTCACTATGACAAACTGTCCACTACCCATCATCGCACCATCATCACCCGTCGCCCATCCCCTCTCCCTCGCACCATCACCCATCGCCCATCCCCTCTCCCTCGCACCATCACCCATCGTCCATCCCCTCTCCCTCACACCATCACCCATCATCACCCATCACCCATCGCCCATCCCCTCTCCCGCGCACCATCGCCCATCCAGTCGGTCTCATGCCCGTTGCCCTGATGTGCGTCCAAATCCACTATCAGCACTCTGGTGAGGTGGGCAGGGCGAGGAGGGGCGGTGGTGGGGGGGACGATTGAGGTAGAGCGGAGGGAATGAAACAGGTGACTCAGACCTGATGTGCGTCCAAATCCACTATCAGCACTCTGGTGAGGTGGGCAGGGCGAGGAGGGGCGGTGGTGGGGGGGACGATTGAGGTAGAGCGGAGGGAATGAAACAGGTGACTCAGACCTGATGTGCGTCCAAATCCACTATCAGCACTCTGGTGGGGTGGAGAGGGCGAGTAGGGAGAGGGGGAGAGGAAGGCGAGGAAGGCGAGGAAAGTGAGGAAGGTGTGTTGTAATTTCATATTTCATACAACATACATAGGCTAGAAGTGTAGCACATTTATAAATTGGGGGGTTGCTTAGTGTACCCTCCAACCACATTTTGTGGTTGGTTGGGATTGGTCCTCCCGAGCTCAGATCTACTCCTCCCCAGCTCAGATCTACTCCTCCCGAGCTCAGATCTACTCCTCCCGAGCTCAGATCTACTCCTCAACAGCTCAGATCTACTCCTCCCGAGCTCACATCTCCTCCTTCCGAGCTCAGATCTACTCCTCCCCAGCTCAGATCTACTCCTCCCGAGCTCAGATCTACTCCTCCCCAGCTCAGATCTACTCCTCCCGAGCTCAGATCTACTCCTCCCCAGCTCAGATCTACTCCTCCCGAGCTCAGATCTACTCCTCCCGAGCTCAGATCTACTCCTCCCGAGCTCAGATCTACTCCTCCCCAGCTCAGATCTACTCCTCCCGAGCTCAGATCTACTCCTCCCGAGCTCAGATCTACTCCTTCCGAGCTCAGATCTACTCCTCCCCAGCTCAGATCTACTCCTCCCAAGCTCAGATCTACTCCTCCCGAGCTCAGATCTACTCCTCCCGAGCTCCCATCTCCTCCTCCCGAGCTCAGATCTACTCCTCCCGAGCTCAGATCTACTCCTCCCCAGCTCAGATCTACTCCTCCCGAGCTCAGATCTACTCCTCCCGAGCTCAGATCTACTCCTCCCGAGCTCACACCTCCTCCTCCCGAGCTCAGATCTACTCCTCCCGCGCCCTGCTCTACTCCTCCTGCCCTCAGATCTGCACATTCCGCACTCAGATCTACTCTCCCGCGCCCAAATCTGCATTCCGCGTGCTCAGATCTGCAACTCGCACGCCCTTGCTAGTCCGACCGCGCGCCCTGGTCGTCCGCGCTCTGCTCGTCCGCCCTTCGCGTCCCCGCCCTGCCCGTCCGCACGCCCTGCTCGTCCGCGCCCTGCCCGTCCGCACGCCCTGCTCATCCGCCCTTCGCGTCCGCGCCCTGCCTGTCCGCGCGCCCCAGTTATCCGCACCCTGGCCGTCCGCGCGCCCTGTTCGGCTGCACGCCCTGCTCGTCCGCGCTCCGGTCGTCCACACTCTCCCCGTCCGCGCACTCGTTGCACGCCCTCCTTCCCCGCTCAATGTCCCCCTCCCCTCGTCCGCCCCCTGCCCACCTCCCTGGCATACAACACATCTGCACGCGCATACAGCACATCTGACAGCACATACCGCACACCTGACAGCACATACCGCACACCTGACAGCACATACCGCACACCTGACAGCACGTACCGCACACCTGACAGCACATACCGCACACCTGACAGCACATACCGCACACCTGACAGCACATACCGCACACCTGACAGCACATACCGCACACCTGACAGCACATACCGCACACCTGACAGCACATACCGCACACCTGACAGCACATACCGCACACCTGACAGCACATACCGCACACCTGACAGCACATACCGCACACCCGCCTGCGCACACCGTCAGCTGCCTGCGCACACCTTCAGCTGCCTGCGCACACCGTCATGCCCTGCTCGCCTGCGCCATGCCGTGACCGCCCACACCCCACATTGCTTCCCCCATGGCAACAGTCGCGCTGGCATGCATCAGCAGTGGTGCCGGTGGGCATGGAGGAGGGCATAGTGGCAGCTGTGGTGGTGGTCAAGGGAGACTCGCAGGATATTGTGGTGTCAGGGGTTTGAGCGCAGGCTGCGGCGCAGCAGCAGCCTTCTCTCCTCGTGAATATGTGCCTCGCTATGGCCCGACTCGAGGACTTCAGTGTAAACTCTCCACCCAAGCCCACCATGCCCCGAGTCAACCCTTCTCTCTACCTCAGCCTCCTCCTCCTCCTCCTCCTCCTCCTCCTCCTCCTCCTCCTCCTCCTCCTCCTCCTCCTCCTCCTCCTCCTCCTCCTCCTCCTCCTCCTCCTCCTCCTCCTCCTCCTCCTCCTCCTCCGCAGCAACAGCAGCAGCAGCAGCAGCAGCAGCAGCAGCAACCGCAGCAACAGCAGCACCAGCAGCAGCTCTGGCACCTCCTCCTCCAGCTCCAGCAGTTGCTCCACCGCCTGCAGCAGCACCTTGACCTACAACCGCAGCTGCCTCTTCCTCCTCCTCCCCCAACTTCCCAGCAGAACTCAGTTCCGCATTGTTCCACAAGCTCCGCCACTTCAAGCATCGTCCCACCTTTCTCATCCGTTGGTATCGCTGGTATGGTCAATCAAGCCACATCAACTGCACCTGCCACATACTCCTCTAGCACTAACGAAACTGCGTTCCAGTCCTCTGTCCCTTCCTCCTCCCTCTCCTCCACTGTCGATTTTGTCCTCGACAGCGGCGCCACTGACACAGTTCTTCGCGATGCTGGCACCTTGCGCCCCCTCCCAACGCCTACCTCCCTCCTTGGTGTCGACAGCAGCTTCTCTATCCCCTGCCATAACACCTCGACTCTCCCCTGCCCACTCTTCCCCTCAGGCACTGTCACCGGTCTCCACATACCCTCTCTTCGCGCTAATCTCCTTTCGCAAAGGTCCCTTCAGCAAGCCGGTATCACCACAGTATTCCCAGCTCATGCTGACTATTGCGCTCTCTACCATTCCGCCACCGGTCAGTTCCTTTCTCGCATTCCCTTTTGCCCTCGCTCCCGTCTGTACACCCTTCGGGTTCCTCGCCTCCCCTCCTGTCAGGTCATCTCTCGTCCCCCCCTCCACCCTCTCATCCCACCTCCTCCTCTCCCTCCCACTAACCCGGACCTCCCTTCCCGCCCCCCCCTTGACTCCTCTTGCTCCTGTCGCTCCCTCTCCCACCCTGCCGTCCTCCTCCATCACAGGCTAGGTCACCCTAACTTCGCTACTCTACGCTCCTCTGTTTCCACCGGTCTCCTCCACGGTCTCCCCTCCTCCCTCCCTCCCTCCCCTCCCCAAATCCCCTGCCCCCCCCTGCACCGTCTGCGTTCAGAGCAAGCTCAAGCAGCAGCCGCACCGGAGCTCCCCCTCCGCTGCTGCGCAGCCACTTGATCTTGTTCACATGGACCTCTGGGGCCCCAATCCCTCTCCCACTCGCCAGGGCCATCGATACCTCCTCGTACTCGTCGATGATCACAGTCGGTACTCGTTCGTCTCTCTCCTTCGGACGAAGGCATATGCCCCGGCTGCGATCATCGCCTGGCTCGAGCGGGCAAATACCCATTTTGGGCGCCCTGTTCGCCGCCTTCACTCTGATGGTGGTGGTGAGTTCCTTAACAACCAAATATCCTCCTACTGTCAGTCTCATGGCATTCTTCAGACTTACACCCTCCCTCACTCCCCGCAGCAGAACGGTGTGGCTGAAAGTCGTGTTCGAGAGATCACAAAAACTGCCCGGTGTCTTCTTGTCCACGCCTCCTGCCCTCCTTCTCTGTGGGGCTACGCCCTCCTTCATGCCGCCCTCCTTACTAACCTTTACCCTCACCCTCTTCTCCCATCCACCACCCCCACTGAGCTGTGGACGAACAACAAACCTGATGTCTCGTCTCTTCGTGTCTGGGGCTCCAAGGCTTATGTTCTCCTTCACCCCACTGACCGCTCCCGCTCTATGGGAAAGCTTGCCCCTCGTATCCTTCCCTGCATCTTTCTCGGTCATAACTCCTCCTCATCTGACTACCTTTTCCTCCATCCCCCCTCAGGTCGTCTATTCCGCAGTAGGGATGTGGTCTTTGATGAGTCCACTCCCTACTACTCCTCTCCCCCATCCACTGACCCACTCCCCCGTCTTCCCCGTCCCCTTGTCTGGTCTGACACCACCCCTCCCCCACTACTTCCTCCTCCCCCCATCCTCCCTCCCCCCCCCCCCCACCGTCGTCCCCATCCCACGGTGCCCCTCCCTCGTCTGGTGATATATTTGACCCGGAACCTCTGTCCTCTCCCGTCTCCCCCACACATTCCTCTCCTAGTGCCCCTCCCGCCCCTCCTTCACCTCCCTCGCCGCCGACTCGTCCTTCCCCCCCCCCTGCACCGTACTTACCCGGTACCCCCATACGAGGTCACGTGACAGTATCCTTGGTGTACCGCCCCCTGTTACCCTCTCTACCTCTACCCTCCCCCCACTCTCCCCTCTCCTTCACCACTTCTTCCAGGCTGTTCTGCATCAACCTCCTCCTGCAGCAGCCCCCTCTGCCACCTCTCCAGCAGCGGCGCCAGCAGCAGCGTCCGCAACGGCACCCGCAGCAGCACCAGCAGCAGGACCAGCAGCGGCACCTGCAGCAGGACCAGCAGCGGCACCAGCAGCAGGACCAGCAGCGGGACCAGCAGCAGCACCAGCAGCGGGACCAGCAGCGGCACTAGCAGCGGCACCAGCAGCGGCACCAGCAGCGGCACCAGCAGAGGCACGTGCAGCGGCACCAGCGGCACCAACGGTCATCCGCTCCTTCCGCACCTCCCTCTCCGAGGACTCGCATGAGGAGTTCCTTGACCTCCACCTCTGTGACCCTTCCCTTCTACCCATCACCTTCGACCTTTCTGGGACACCAGTATTCGCATTCTCCTCTGCTCCCTCCGTTTTCATCCCTACCACGTACGAGGAGGCCATGGCTTGCCCCGACGCCCCACTCTGGCTCGCCGCCATTATCAAGGAGCTGGAGGCCTTTGTCGCCAACTCCTCCTTCGTTGATGTGCCTCGCCCTCCCTCCTCTACGAACGTGGTGAAAGGGAAGTGGGTGTTTCGCGTCAAACAGCTGCCAGGAGAGCCGCCCGTCTATAAGGCTCGTTACTGTGCCAAGGGGTTCATGCAGCGGCATGGTTTTGACTTCTTCGATACCTTCTCTCCCACTGCCAAGCCTGCTACTGTTCGCGCAGTGCTCGACCTCGCCGCTCGCCTCAATATGGAGATCCACTCAATGGACGTCTCTAACGCTTTCCTCCAAGGCGTCCTCCGCGAGCTTATCTACATGGAGCGTCCAGCCGGTTTTCACCTTCCCTTCCCTGCAGACTCTGTCTGGCAGCTGCGTCGCCCTGTGTATGGGCTTCGACAGGCCCCGAGGGAGTGGCATGCTAAGCTTGCCGCCACCCTTGCTGAACTTGGGTTCCGCACCTCCCGCTCTGACGCCAGCCTCTTCCTCTGCACCTGCCCCTCCCCGTTCTACATCCTTGTGTATGTCGATGACATGATTCTGCTCACTGCCGACCTTGGCGAATTGGAGCGTGTTAAGGCTGAGTTGGGCAGCCGTCTCAAATGCAAGGACTTGGGCGAGCTGCAGCATTACCTGGGCATGACCATCACCCGTGACCGCTTCGCCCGCACCATCTCTCTCTCCCAGGGTCATTACTTGCAGCAGGTCTTGGAGCGGTTTGACATGGTCCGCGGTGGCGCCCAACCTACTCCTCTTTCTGTCGGGCACCACCTCTCTCCACCCACCTCCCCCTCAGCCTCCTCCCATCCTTATCCCGAGCTCATCGGCTCCCTCATGTACGCCATGGTCTCCACTCGCCCTGACCTTGCCTACCCCATCAGCGTCCTCGCTCGTTTTGTTGGCGCAGGCAAGCATACGGAAGAGCACTGGCAGGCCGCCAAGCGTGTCATCCGGTACCTTCGTGGCACCAAGGACTATGTCCTTACCCTTGGCGGTCCCTCCCCACCTCTTCTCAGCGGCTACAGTGACTCCTCCTGGGCTGATTCCCGGCCAGATCGTCGCTCCTCCCAGGGCTATGGCTTCTCTCTTGGCAGCGGCCTTATCAGCTGGCGCTCCACCCGCTCCTCGGCTGCAGCCCTCTCCTCCTGCGAGGCGGAATTGTATGCCGCCACCATGGCTGCGCAAGAGGCCCGCTGGGTCACCTTCCTTCTTGAGGAACTTGGTGCCCCCCAGCGCTGTCCCACAATTTAGTGTGACAATGCTAGTACCATTCACCTCACCAAAGATGCTGTGTTTCACGGGCGCTCCAAGCACATTGAGCTCCGTCATTTCTTCATTCGCGATCTTGTTCAGGCGGGGCACCTTCGCCTCGACAAGGTTGACTCGGCGGCCAACCTTGCCGACATCTTCACAAAAGCTCTTCCTCATGCCGCTCACTCTTTCCTACTTCGTCTTCTTGGCCTCACTCCTCCTAAGTCGCCTCCCGCCTCTTGATTCTAGCCTTCTAGCCTTATGCATGTTGGGGGGTTGTGTTGTAATTTCATTTCATACAACATACATAGGCTAGAAGGGTAGCACATTTATAAATTGGGGGTTTGCTTAGTGTACCCTCCAACCACATTTTGTGGTTGGTTGGGATTGGTCCTTAGCTCAACCTAGGGATGAGCAAAGGGCGAACACGAACATGTTCGTCTTCGCCCCTTACCGAACACCCTCTTTTGCCGAACCGAACACTGTTCGGTTCGGCGAACAGTTTAGGAAAAAACAGGTGTTCGCTGTTCGCCTGTGGAGGCGTGTTCGGGCGAACCTCGAACACTGTTCGTGTTCGTCGCGGGCAAATTTCAGCAGCGGCCCGAACACGAACGTGTTCGGGCGAACATCGAACACTGTTCGGCGAACGATTTGAGCTAAAAAACAAAACCTTTTCGGTTCGCCTCGAACACGTTCGAGGCGAACCGAACAGGTGTTCGCCACCTTGCTCATCCCTAGCTCAACCAATCCCAACCAACACACATTTGTGGTTGCTTGGGTCACAAGCAAGCTCACCACCCATTGGCCAACTTATTGGCCAATAGGGTAAGCTTCCCTCTCATCTCTCTCTTGCTCATTGTTTGTACTAAAGAGCCTCTTGGCTCATTATTCAATGTATCAATTCTAGCTTTCTAACAAGGTGATGAGGGATGGTGGTACCGTGGGAATTGAGGGAGGGAGGAGGGGATGAAACAGGTGACTCTGATGTTCGTCCAGCACACTGACAGGGCGAGGAGTTTAAAGATGGATGGGGTGTGGGGGGAAAGAGTGAAGGGAGGGCGGAGGGAGGGGATGAAACGGGTGAGCCTGTGCATCCATATTGTCAATCGGAATTGGCTCACGGGCCCCAATCAATCTGAAATGCGGCAAGCAAAGTGTTGAGCTGGAACCTTTTAGCATCCCTGCCTCCCAGGCATCTGCACGACCCCCAATTGCAATGAATTTCCAGCTATTATTTAAAGCAGGCGATTCTGGTAGAGTGTATACCAAGATGCTGTAAGGCACAGTGCTCCACAGGCAGTGCCGCGACAGCATGGCGGCAGGGTATGAGACAGCATTGTCTTGTCCCACTCGACGACCAAGCACCCTCTTGGCTTCCACGATTGCACATCTTCACTCCCAAAAGCGCGCTCCCAAGAATGCACCTTTCAACTCCTAAGGACGCACCTTTTGGCTCCCAGGAACGCACCTTTTGACTCCCAGAAACGCACCTTTTGACTCCCAGGAACGCACCTTTTGACTCCCAGGAACACACCTTTTGACTCCCAGGAACACACCTTTTGACTCCCAGGAACGCACCTTTTGACTCCCAGGAACGCACCTTTTGACTCCCAGGAACACACCTTTTGACTCCAGGAACGCACCTTTTGACTCCCAGGAACGCACCTTTTGACTCCCAGGAACGCACCTTTTGAGTCCCAGGAACGCACCTTTTGACTCCCAGGAACGCACGAGCGAAGGTGATGATGGCGGAGATGTCAGCGAGGGCACAGAAGCCCATGCCCGTGTGGCGGCTGCAGTGGTGCAGCCCCCCTCCCACGTTCACCGCTGCTCCCCTCTCCACTGCTAGCTTCGCCGCCAGCACACTGCCCCCCACCTGCGCCGAGTGGAGGCAAGGAAAGGGTGAGAGTGGTGGAGAGAGCAAGAGAGGGGACAACACGGGAGGCAGGAGGAGGAGAGTAAGGAAAGGATATCTTGTGCTGTTCTTCTCTCCACTGAAAGCTTGCTCGCCAAAACAATCTACCCAACTGCTTGGAGAGGAGGCACGGAGAGGAAAGGAAAGGAGATGGTAACAAAAAGAGGTGGCAAGGGAAAGAGATGGTAAGTGGAGGTAAGGAAAGGAGATGGTGCTGCACCCCTTTCCACTGGTAGCCTTGCCATCAGCACAACACACTGCCCCCCCACCCCCACCTGCCCCGAGCGGGTTACTGCAGGATAGACGAGGTGAGAGGCACAAGGCAGAACAGAGGAAGATGTTTCGTACCAGCCTTGTAAGACAGTACACGACCCATCACCATCCCGCCCTCCATCACCCCCACCCCACTCTCACCCCCATGCCCACCATCACCATCACCATCACCATCACCATCACCATCACCATCACCATCACCATCACCATCACCACCACCATCACCACCACCATCACCATCACCATCACCACCACCATCACCATCACCATCACCATCACCATCACCATCACCATCACCACCACCACCATCACCATCACCATCACCATCACCACCATCACCATCACCATCACCATCACCATCACCACCATCACCATCACCACCACCACCACCACCACCACCACCACCACCACCACCATCACCATCACCATCACCATCACCATCACCATCACCATCACCATCACCACCACCATCACCACCACCACCATCACCATCACCATCACCATCACCACCACCACCACCATCACCACCACCACCATCACCATCACCATCACTACCACCACCATCACCACCACCACCATCACCATCACCATCACCATCACCATCACCATCACCACCACCACCATCACCATCACCATCACCACCACCACCATCACCATCACCTTGCCTGGTATCGGAAGGGGCGCACAACTCGATGCTGGAGAATGAAGTTGGGGAAGAGCGCCAGTGGGGGCAGCTGGACGAGGCAGCGGGCCGGTGAGGGGAAGAAGTGGGAGAAAGAGAAAAAGGTCAAAGATTGCGAATTTGGTCAAGACGGGAAACGTGGGAGGCGTTTCTTGCAAGGGGAAATGAGGAAAGCGTGAATTTGCGTGCATGCCATGCCATGCAGCAACACACACTCTCTAAACACATTCCCAAGCCAAGAAAATAGACAGTTCTGTTTGCATGCAACACACACAAGCACGCAAGAAGAACCTTGAGCCGAGCAACCAAGCGTTCCATCCCCCTCGCAGATGACCCACTGTCCCACAGCATTCCCTCCCACTTCCCCAATACCATACACGTGCCTCACCTCTCCAATGGTGGCAAGATTGAAGCTGCTTCGAAGGCTGTCCAGATACTCCTGAGAATGCACCTGAAGGGGCATAGCATGGCCACACAGCACGGGAAGTTTTCGTGCAAAGTGAAGGGGACGCACTGGGAAGAGGAACACAGTGCCATGGAAGATCCGTAGCATGGTGACACGGTGTGCGATGAGCAGTGGAATAGAGCTCGTCACCCGAGCCACAGCGAGCCAGCACACCGGCAAGCAAGCAGCTAGAGGCGTTCCCAGCAGCAGCAGCAGCAGCAGCAGCAGCAGTGTGACGTCGAGGTGGCAGTGGCACACCACCAACACCAACACGCAACGACACCAGCATGTCAGTTGATGCACACCAACACAACACGCACATCTGGTCGCTGTGTGGCTGCAAGTTAGGTTCACACGCTTTGTCGGAAATGACCTTCTGAGTTGACACAGAAGTCGCTCAGGCAATGGGCAGTGAGATGTGGGCCAGACAGACTCACCAGCAGCAGATCACATCACACGGTTTGAATCAGCCGTGGGGTGAAGTGAAGCACCTAGTGTGGCCGCATGCATGCACCCCTCGTCCACACCATAGTGCAGCAGCAGCGGCAGCAGTCAGTCACCTCACCAGCAGCAGGTCGTCGTTGGTGGCAGCTCTGGGGTGCACCACCTGGTGCGGCTGTATGCGCCCCTCTTCTATGAGAAAACTCACGATGCGCCCCCACTTGCCCGAGTCAAAGGGGTGCCTGATGGGCGTGAGGAGGAGGGAAGGAGGAGAGTCGGAAGAGAGCGAGAGCATTGGGAGGAGGGCGGAGTAGGGGCAGCTGCAAGAGAAATCTCTGGGCGATATAAGCACGATGCTGTTCCATGTGAAACAGTCAGACGAGTGGTTGGACGGAGGGTGCGAGGAGGGGAGAGGAAAGGGAAGGGGAAGAAAAGCGGAAGAGAAAGGGAAGCAGTTGGAAAACGTTTAAGGCCGGGAGTTGCTATAGGGAGGATGGGACAGGTGAGGAAGTGAGGGGGCTACATGAAAAAAGGGTTGAGGAAGGGGGAACTAAACAGTGACAGTGGAGCACAGAACGTGGCGGGGAGGCAGAGTGAAAAGCAGGAAACGAGGGGAGACACAAAAAGCAGGAGGCGGCAGGGAGGGAGAGGGATTGAAAGCAGTTTAGAACAGAGAGAAGGCAAGTGCAGGGCTGTATGGGCCCCATGGTGTGTTGGCATGTGTGGGTGTTTGGGCGGTGGTATGGCAGCAGGATGAGGCAAGGCAAGCGCACTCACAGCTTCTCGATGCCAAAGAGGCGCATGTTGTAGTCATCGCAGTACACCAGTGGCCTCTGCCTCCCACAGGGGCCACACAGGGCGGCACAGAGCAGCACAGGGCGGCACAGGGCGGCACAGGGTAGTACGGGGCGGCACAGGGCGGCACAGGGTGGCACAGGGTGGTACGGGGCGGCACAGGGCGACAGAGAGTGGTACAGGCGGCACAGAAGCAGCAGAGGCAAGGAGAGGGAAAATGCACATGCAGTGGAAGCACAAGTGAAAAGCATATTGTGATGCTCAGATGCTCTCCACTCCAACATCACTAGGCCACTTCACCCCACCCACCCTGCCTTCCTCACAACCCACCCTGCCTCTCTATTCCCAGCTAACCCCCCCTGGGAGTGGTCATGTGAACTCAGGTGACTTTTGAGTCGACTCAAAAACCCCCCCTGGGAGTGGTCATGTGAACTCAGCCCAGCTTCTTAGAAACAACCGACCTTCATCCATCACCTCTCTCCCATCCCCCCCACCTCACCCCTCTCTCCTCACCCCCCTCTCCCCAACCCCCCTTCCTCACCCTTTCCAACCCCCTCTCTCCTCACCCCCCTCTCCCCAACCCCCCTTCCTCACCCTTTCCAACCCCCTCTCTCCTCACTCGCCTCTCTCCTCACTCGCCTCTCTCCTCACTCGCCTCTCTCCTCACTCGCCTCTCTCCTCACTCGCCTCTCTTCTCACTCCCCTCTTTCCTCGCCCCCCTCGCTTCCCACCCCCCTCTTTCCCCATCCCCTCTCTCCTCACGGACCCCTGTCCAGCAAACACTCATCCCTCCCGTTTGCCTCTCTCCACCCCTCACCTTCTCTTCCCCCCACCCCTCACCTTCTCTTCCCCCCACCCTTCACCTTCTCTTCTCCCCACCCCTCACCTTCTCTTCCCCCCACCCCTCACCTTCTCTTCCCCCCACCCCTCACCTTCTCTTCCCCCCACCCCTCACCTTCTCTTCCCCCCACCCCTCACCTTCTCTTCCCCCCACCCCTCACCTTCTCTTCTCCCCACCCCTCACCTTCTCTTCCCCCCACCCCTCACCTTCTCTTCCCCCCACCCCTCACCTTCTCTTCCCCCCACCCCTCACCTTCTCTTCTCCCCACCCCTCGCCTTCTCTTCCCCCCACCCCTCGCCTTCTCTTCCCCCCACCTCTCGCCTACTCTTCCCCGTCGCTGCCCTCAACTTCTCTTTCCCCGCGCCCCTCGCCTTCTCTTCCCCCCGCCCCTCGCCTTCTCTTCCCCCCCACCCTCGCCTTCGCTTCCCCCCCCCCTCTCACCTTATCGCCCTCGTCGCTGCCCTTACCTTCTCTTTCCCCCCGCTCCTCACCTTATCGTCCCCGACGTCAAACAGCAATTCTGACTGCATTAATCGCCGCCTCGTCTCCTCGTCACCCCCCACGACGCCATCACCAGCCCTCCGCCCTCCTCGCTCCGCCTCCTCTACGCCCTCCGCTTCCGCTCCGCCACACGACGGCTGAGTGACGCTTGTTGTGCTTCTATCGGGATCCGCGCCACCCGCGCCGGCGGACATGTTGACGGCTAGCCGACTGGCTCTCGAGCGCTGCGCTTTCGCGACCGAGGAACAGGAACGTGAGCAGTTGTTCCTGGATAAAGAGGGAAAATGACGGCTAGCCGACTCTCTGGTCGCCTTTCCACCGACGGTCGGGACTGATCGCTCTGGGCTAATGCGATGAGGTGCAATGTAACGGGGACAAACGAGAACTACGTGGCACTTGAGCGACCGCAGAGCATGAGTGGCTCGTTTTGGCAGAGCTGCGGCTGTAACAGAAGGGTCAAGAGCGGTGGCAGCAGCAGCGGAAGCAAGAGCGCGATGCCGCACAATCATGGGAGCCTGGCGCGGCGGACCAGCGCGCAACAATTCCCGCATTGCAAGGAGAGGGCGACCACGAGCGAGATGGCGAATGTCAGAAAGAACCACACGAATGTCAAACTGGGCGGCCAAGCCAGATGTGTTCGCGTTAGGAGTTACCCCTCACCTTTCCATTAAAAAACCACTTAACATTGTCCTCAGGTTTGGTCTATTGAGTTTTCTCTTTATTTGAGTCCAACCACCAGCTTTCTAAAAAAATGTATCTGATCTATTATTTTGAATAATATTAATAATTTATCAAACAAATATGCGTATTGAACAAAACAAACTATGTGGCACTTGAGCTATATGTCTTGTATATAGATTAGAACGTCAATGAGTTTCAATTGATTTTCGTGGAGTTTTTTATTTTTTTTGTTAAGAGAGAAACTTTGACAATTGTTAGCCGCTTGCATGCATAGACATTATGAACATTCGTAAGGGAAGTTTACTGGTAAAGTGGCAAGTATTATGGATTCAGTGTGTCAATGCAAGGGACAACAAAGGTCAAGGATAGTATACAGAGAACAGGAGGGCGGAAGACAAGGAAAAGAGAAAGATGATAGGAGGAGACGAAGAAAGGAAGATACCAAGAGGGCACTCGACGGCACAAGGGGCGGGGGGAGGTACTTGTGAGTCACCTTTGGACAGCTGAGGTTAAGGTTAAGGTTATATAAGGTCGTAACCGTGTACAGCAAAGCATAGAGCAGCTAGAAATATGGTCTACACAACCAACGGCCCAAAGGCATACGTAGGGAGCACGCTATACCCATTGGATGGAAGGGCTAGGGGGGGCGAAAGGGGTCCCCAAGCAACCAGGACGAGCGGAGGTCCGGGTGAATAGAAGGGGTTCCATCGTGGTAAAAAACGAGAAAGCGGAGTCGAGTGGCCAACTTAATACGAGTAGCTGAACGTAGTTGTTTTTTCGCAGATTGTTTCTTCCTTCGCTGTCAGAACATTATAGCTTATACATCTGTGTAGGCTGTAGTGGGGTAGCCCATAAGGGGTACAACCCAATTAGGGTTAGTACTTGTACCCAACTGTTTCATAGTTCAATCATTCTCGTTCTAATTATCACATGGTATAGAGCAGGTTCCCTCGTGGGAACTGTTCCTAGGGCCCACCGACCTTTTTTTTCCTGCCCGAAGCGCGCTTTGCCCCTGCCCGAGTCGCGCCCCGTGTGACTCACCTTCGTGGCCTCTAGCGGCCTCCCTAACGGCCCCTAGTGGCCCCATCGCGCCGTCCTCACGGCCCCGTCGCGCCGCCCTTGCGGCCCTCTTCGCACCGCCCTCGCAGCCCCTTTCCGCGGCCCCGTCGCCGCCCTTTCAGCAGCCCCGTCGCTGCCCGCCCTTTCAGCGGCCCCGTCGCCGCCCTTCCGCGGCCCCGACGCCGCCCTCCAGCGGCCCCGTCGCCGCCCGTCCGCGGCCCTGTCGCCACCCTTTCAGCGGCCCTGTCGCCGCCCGCCCTT